GTTTCTTCCAGCAATTTTTACCCCAGCCTTGCATTCGTCAAGCCCTGCACATTGCATGATGTGTTCTGCATAGAAGTTGAATAGGTTGGGTGAGAGTATACAACCCTGCCATACACCTTTCCCAATCTTGAACCAGTCTGTTGCTCCATGGTCAGTTCTTACTGTTGCTACTTGGTCCTTATACAGATTCCCCAGGAGAGAGATAAGGTGATTTGGTATGCCCATACCACCAAGAACTTGTCACAATTTATTATGATCCACACAGTCAAAGGCTTTAGAATAGTCAATAAAACAGAAATAGGTGTTTTTCTGAAACTCCCTGCATTTCTCCATTATCCAGCAGATATTGACAATTTGATCTCTCGTTCCTCTGCCTTTTCTAAATCTAGCCTGTACATCTGGCAACTCTCTCTCCATGTATTGCTGGAGTCTTCCTTGCAGGATCTTGAGCATTACCTTACTGGCATGAGAAATAAGGGCCACTGTATGAAAATTTGAGCAATCTTTAGCATTTCCCTTTTTTGGGATGGGGATATAAGTTGATTTTTTCCAGTCTGATGGCCATTCTTGTGTTTTCCATATTTGCTGGCATATGGCATGCATCACCTTGACAGCATCATCTTTCAAGATTTTAAACAGTTCAGCTGGGATCCCATCGTCTCTTGCTGCCTTGTTGTTAGCAATGCTTCTTAATATTAATGGAAAAAATAAGGTAGAAAGCATTAAAAGGTAAATTATCTTTCCACTTTTTGGCAAACAAAAAGGAAATCAATTGGTTTTAGCATATTTAATGCATGCCTGCTTTGAAGGATTTAGATGAGCCGTAAAGGACCACAACTACTGCTGTGGTGAAAAAATTAGATAAATGACAATTTAAGCATGGATTAGGTTTGTTAAATTAATCCTTTTTTTTAAAGTTGGCCACTTTTACCTCTCCTTTCTATAGTTAAAAGTAGAACATGCATAGCAAAACAAAGAACTTACTAAATCCATGCAATTAGTACTACATTAGGGGGAAACAGCAAAAAAAATGCAAAACATTTAAAGCATCCATGTTAACCATTTGCAGCACCTATGTTCAACTAATGAAAAGATTATATGAAATAGCTATTAAGAACTTTATTCATGCTATTGTGGCAATACAAACAGAAAGGTCCCATGCTAGGCTTTCAGGTCAGAATTAACTCAATTTTACATGCCTATGTGTTCAGGTTCTAATTTTAAATATCCACAATGGTGTTGCTCCAGCCTATACAGGTTTTTGCCTTTGGATCGAAGTGTAATGGAGTCTTATACAACAACAGCTGTAAAATGTGCGAGGCCGTGACTCCCACCGCTTGTTACTAAAAATTTAAAACCGTTCACTTGCTGCCACCAAAATATGTGAGGAAGTCTCCAAAATGAAATAATGGTGTAAAATCCCAAATAAATAGGATCACCACACAGATGTAATAAAGATTTGAGACTTCTAGCTTAAATTGCCACCATAATATAAGAGATATTGGTAAAATGATCTCTGGTTATCCCTATCTGTGTTGTGAGGCACCTTTGGTAGTGTGGAATGCTCCAAACGTGGAAATCAGTGAAGGAGGCAAGTTTAAAACACAAAAAGAACAGGTTTATTGTTATCAGAGCGTAAATTGTTGCAAAATTAAACTGTTGAACTTGGCACAAGCTTGATGGATACAAAATGGCTTGGTTGAGTTACATTAAGTCTTCCGATGTTACAATCCTTTAACTCCTCCTACAGTGAGGTACTTTATTATTTCAGTGTTCCCTAATGTGAATATTTACAACTGTTTGTCCTTCACCGGATCAAACCAACGATCTCCAGACTTTCACCACTGGGATCCCTGAAACCCTTTCTTGTTAGATTCTTTTCTACTCAAGCAATCTAACGAGTTTCCACCTTCAGCTTCCTAGCTGAAGTAATATTCACAAAACCTAAGAACTAACTGAATTTACACTACTCCACAGAGCCCCCTTGACTCTGCTACTCTCCTCAGGGTCTCATCCGCCTGACTGACTATAAACTGTCGCTTTCAAACCTTTTCTACTTAAGCTCCGCCCACCTCCTCTGGCTTGTCACCATGGCAACCT